GACACTGGGAATAATCCATCTCAAACAGGGCCCAGAACGTGTTCAGTATCTTCAACAAGAACGTCTGCCCTCCTTGCAAGTAGCTCCACAAATAATTCAGGAGTTTTGGCAAGCACTCCAATAGGCTGATACTAAAATTCTTAAAAATGATTTAAAGGTGTTCTTCTGGAGAGCAAAGCCCTAAGGACGGAATCTCCCTGTGCCTACTTCATTGTTAGGAACTCCAGTTAATTTATAAAGAAGCAGTTTTCCTGTGGCATTCACACTGGTCTTTTTACAGCGCTTTGAGTTTATTGCAGTATATGTAATTGGGATTTTTCTGTAAAATGGGTGTAATTTTCCATAAATATAGGTATATGACAACAGGAGAAGTTGCTTCTATGCTGACTCAAATTGTTCTATATAAAAAGGCTGTTAAAACATACAGTCGAGTTATCCTAGTATTTTAATTTTTTTATTTGAAACTTTAAATCAAGTCCTTTATAAAGACCATAACTGTGGAAAACAGTGTATTTTTTAAAAAATTGCTAATTATAAAACATTTGAAAATTTTAATTTTCTTTCATGTGGGCAGACACATAAAGTATGGGGGGAATACAATAATCAAAACTAATATTTTGTAGATAGCAATTACATCTCTTTAAATTGTTTCTACACCAATTGTATCATAAGGATAGAGGAAGAAAAGGCATTTGATAACAATTAACATAAAGAAGGAAACAAAAAAATCTTAGAAAACTAATAATTGAAAGGAAATTCCTAAATCTGAAAGGTATCTATGTAAAACCTATAGTAAAAAGCCAAACTCAAATTACAAAACATTAAAATCATCTCCTTTGAAAATCAGGATGGAAGCAGACCACTAACACTTCTACACAACGCTGTATTAGAAGTCCAAGCCAACATAACAAGAAGAGAAAAACTATCATTATTCATATACAATTAATTATGTACATAGAAAACTCAAAATAATCTACAGACAAATTGCTACAATTAATAATAGAAGTTAACTGGTTGCTGGATTCACAATCAATATACAAAAGTCAATTATTTTTCTATGTACCTACAAAAAACAGAAGATGCAATTTAAAAATAGTTTGGAGGAACAACAAAATAAAGTAAAAGAATGAATCTAATAGAAGACTTGCAAGAGCTTTATATAATAAAAGACACCAATAGGAAGAGAAACATGTTCTTGAACATGAGACACTGTATTTTAAAGATACCAACTTTCTCAAAACACAAGACCAAGATAATCCTGAAGAGAATGAAAGATAAGATCCATCTTATGTATTTCAAGAGTTATTATAAAATAATGGAGACAGTGTGACATTGATATTAACACAGACAAACAGATAAGTCTAACAGAACTGAGAGCCGAGGGCTAGACGTACACATAGAGGAAAAGTAGATCTATAACAAAACTGGCATTACATATTTGAGAAGAAGAGACAGATTGTCCAATAAATGGTGCCAGACAACTAGTCACCACACAGGAAAAATAAGATTTCAATGCTACCTCTCAGCATACATAAAAATAAAGTCCACGTGAGTCAATAAATTAAATGTGAAAGGCTAATTTTTAATACTTTTGTTAGAACATATGGGAGAATTCAACATGGGTAAGGGAGAGATTTCTTAAATGAAAGACAAAATGCACAAACTATAAATAAAAAGCTTGATCAATATAGCTGCATTAAAAGTAAGAATCTCTATTCATCTATTCATCAAAAGACACCTTAAAGAGAGTGAAAAGAGAAGATATTTCTGAAGAAGTTATTTGAAACACATATAAACAATGAAGAAATAAAATCCAGACTATATAAAGAACTCCAACAAATCAATAAGAAAAAGATAATCCAACAGAAAAAGAGGGATCTACGTGGAGAGAGAGTAAATGGATTTTCAGTTCCCTTCTAAAATTTAAATCTGGGTAACAGGATAGTTGAATTTTACTCTCGTGACCTGCACAGCAATTTTGTGTGTGTGTGACTACAACCAAACACACCCTTATCCAAATGTTTGATTTGCATAAAATGATAGTTATATACCAACAGAATTTAATGCTACAAAATTTTTTAGATAATTTTTAACATGGAAAGCACCTGAAATGAAATTGTTGAAATGATCCCTAGAGTAGGAAGTGCTCCTACGTCACATGAATCTAACTTAACACTCCTTTTGCTTCACCTCATTTACATTAATACTTGGTTCTCTTCCTTCCAGCTCAGTAAAGCCTTACCTGCTCACTGTGGCCCACTGACTTGTCTTATCTCTAAACTCAGAGTACTTCTTTAACTGACCAATCGTTTGACAATATGCCTCTGTAATCTTTAAACTGTTCCCCATTGCTATGCACTGTCCATGCAATGAACCTACAACTACACCATCAACTCCTAGTAGGCAGTTTCCTCTGTAATACTTGGATATTATACAGGGTGTTACATCATATTTATACATAATGAATATTCAGCTCAAAACCAGATTACCATTAAGAAAAGGTCAAAGGTTTTAAGTACAGATAATATTTATATTTAATTATACATGACAAATAATCCAAAAGAGAACATAAAGAAAATCTCATAAACTGTGACTATCTTACCATCAAAGAATTCTAGACAAATCAGATAAATCATGGAATGTTCAAACTAAATTCAACTACATCCAAATCAATAATAAGAATGTTTTAAAGTTTTTCTAAACTTAAAAGTTTACATAAAAAGTGTAAAATAATACAGAATAACAAGTAATTTATCTGAACCATGAATATAAAAATCTTTATTCACAACATAGACTCCCTAAAAGAGAAAGAAAAGCAGGAGTAAAAAAAAGGCTAGTCTCTTGAAGTATTCAAGGTAGATATAAAAATCCAAACATGTTCATGCAGGTTATTTTTAGAAAAATTACAAGCTTGCAAAGGTTCTCACCAAGAATAAGCTTATACTTAGTTTTTAGGCAATTATAAAAGTCATAATTTATCAGAGCTCTGGGCACTTAGCAGATTACAAGAAACAAAATAAGAAAGTAGAAGTAGGGTTGTTACAGGGAAATAAAAACAGTATGCAGAGATAATAAATATATTTAAAAAGTAGATGAGGGGTTGGCCCACTGGCATAGCGGTTAAGTGCGCGCGTGCTCCGCTTCAGCGGCCCGGGATTCGCAGGTGTGGATCCCAGGCGCGGACTGACGCATCGCTTGTCAAGCTATGCTGTGGCGGTGTCCCATATAAAGTAGAGGAAGATGGGCACGGATGTTAGCCCAGGGCTAGTCTTCCTCAGCAAAAAGAGGAGGATTGGCAATGGACATTAGCTCAGGGCTACTCTCCCTCACAAAAACGAAACAAAACAAAACAAAAGCAGATGAATGTAAAACCCACAGCATCCCAACACTCCATATTAAAATAATGTGTAATAAGGTTACCTGCAATTCCATTTTGAAATCTCTATCTAATGCTCAGTGCAAAACAGAAAGCTGTTTCTAACACCCGAAGATCTGGAAGGGGTGACCCAGGATGAAGTCCACCTTCCTCAGTTTAAGTAGCCACTGTACTTAGTAATTTCAGGAGTCAAGTCTGGCCTTTTATCTGGAGAAGAGTGTTGCTTAGAGCCATGTTAGAGCATCTTCAAAAGTTTTAGCACGGTAACTACAGACAACCGCAGGTGGTAACTCGTATGAAAGGTTTCACATAGGCTGTGGCTTTTCATCAGCTTATCAGGTTCACATAAAGTAGATACTCAAAAACTGCAAGGCTAACCTATCACGTAGCTAATAAAAATATTTGGAAATGGCCCTTTTTGCCTCTAGATATCAGGAGAACCTGGATGAAAAACTGCTTAGATTTTTCACTTGGGGAGGAGGCCAGATCAAGGGAAAAAGGAGAGTAGGACTACAATGGCATGTGGGTTGAGAAACAAGGATTTCACACCCACATGTTAACAATGAGAAAGTATATTCTCAGAAAGAAGTGCTAACAGAGACAAGAGCGTTATTCCATGTTTTGCAGCAAGAAAGTACTGTTTCCTAAGAACCTGGGAGAGGTAGAATGGTTATATTCACTAAGAAAATATTTTTATAGGTACACTTTTGCCCAAAAGACAGGAATCTATTTTATTCAAGAAAGATTTAGTGATGCCTGTCCCTGTGCAAAGAGCCATACTGAGCATTGTGGGGTACTCAGAAATGAATGGAAGGTACTCCAGCTGTCCAACAATTAACACAAGAGACTCAAGAGTCATAAAAATTCTAAGTACTGAGGGAGTTGAGAAGAGGAAGAGCACTCTTCAGAGAGCTTCTACAAGGAGGTGCATTTAAGCTGGCCTTAAACGACCGTCAGAGTTTTGACAGAGAACAGGAGAGAAGGGTGAGGAAGAAGACATTCTTGATGCAGAAAAGCCTGTGGACAGTGTGGCATTCAGAAAACATGTAACTGTATCGACTACAGCAGGAACCCACTTTACTGTGATATAATCTGTATCCAGAAGGGCAGGGGAGAGATGACTGGAAATGCACGTTGGGCAGGTTATGGAGGGCTCAAAAGCCAAGAAACAGAGTTGGGTGGAATGGGAAACGGCTGAGGGTTTCAGGCAGAGGAGCTGTGCTTTAGAAGTCATCAGAGGGGCAGTACTGGGGTGGAATGAAGGGAGAGACTGGCCAGAAGGCTGCTACAGCAACATAGCCAAGAGGCAGGGAGCAGCCAAGACCAGAAGGACCACGAAAGGAGGGGTCTGACAGCTGGCGGGAGAGAAGAGTCAAAGACAACTCAGGTTTCAAGCCCTAGGGACAAGTCAGGAAGAGACACTAATCATGGCGAAGAAGACACCTCCAGGAAGAGATAATTTAACAAATTTTACAACTTAGTTTTTAATTTTAAATATCAAACAATGCTGTTAGATAGATACTATCAAAACATTAAACAAGAAAGAAAAAAAGGAGGGCATGTTTCTTAAAAACAAGCAACACACCGTCCAAAAGGTCTAAATCTTAAAGCATATTAAAATTACCAGGGAGAAATGGTGATTTCTTCTTTATAATTTTCTTTTCTTTTTTATCCAACTTCTCTGAGCTTTCCTGTTCTTTTTCTTGCTCTGCATCTGTAGGGTCAGTCTGCTCACTTGAAACGTTGGGCACATCTGGATTTTGAACATGTGCTGCGGAAGTCTTGGTGTGGCTGGAGTCGTTAGGATGTGCTGCAACTGGAATTGAAGACAGCCCACTGTTTTCTAAGGCTTGCTGAGACAGAACAAAACTAAAAGGTTAGGAGATACAATGGCCCAAACCTGCCTACCAAAATCAATTACAAAGATGTAATATAGCTTTACCTACAGAATTCTAATCCTACCCTACTAGAAATAAAAGTCTACATTTCCAAGTAGTCACTTATAAGTGAGACTTCCAAATTTTTGAGGCTGAAACCTCCCTTTTGATATCTGCCATCTCACTTCCACTCAAAATATGGTATGGCAAGCATTTATATTTCAGAATTAAAGTTAATAAATTTGACTTTTAGCAATTTTACCGCAGACAACTCTGGTTGTCTCTAAATAGGTTTGGGAATCACTGTTTTAAGTTACACTGGGTTTACCCTTAAGACTTTGGCTGTCATGACATCCTGAGATTCTCTATACTCTGGCGAACTTAACTTGTCACATAAAGGTATAGGAGAGAGGTTAGTTTTAAAATAAGTAAATAAATAGAAAGGAGAAGGAAGGCAATCTCTGTTTGGAAATGAAGAATGTGAATATAAAGCTGGACTAGGGTAGAAGAATCAGAAAAGAACTCTGCGTTCTATTTTCCTCCTCCTCCTCTCCCACACGTGCATGGAATGTTCACACACTGAGCAGAGAGGCAGTACTGCCTCTCAAAATAGTGACACCAGAATTTCAAGAACGAATACAACATTTCTTATGCCTCTGTCAACAGGGATAGATACAAGAAAGTTCTGAAAAGCCTATTCTTTTCAGGTAAAGTCACTTACAGATGCCTGTTCTTTTCAACTAAGTTTACTTACAGAGAAAAAAATCAGGGCTTTCAACTTTTTTTAATTTATGGATTAATAAATCATTTAGAATTCTGCACTGTCCATAAGTAATTAAATAAACATATTTTGTTTCAGCATAATTTTTCAATTCAAAAACACTTTAATGAAAATTCCTTTACTTTGCAAGCCCTGCATATTTATTTTTCAATAATGATATCGAGTCTCTGACAAACACAGACAAGAGCAGGTGAGGGCGCCTCACCTGTAAAATGTCCTGGTTGATCCCCACCGTGATGCTCAGTTGCTGGCCAGGCTGAGGGGGCTGGCTGGACTCCACAGGCCCCGGCTCTGAGAGCTCCAGGAGCTGCTGGATGACATCGGTCACTGCCTGCGAATTCTGCTGACTCGAAGCTGAGGTGACTTGGGCTTCTGTCTGTTGAAGAGGTAAAGTCTGAAACAGTGTGGCCTGAAACACAGCAACATTTTCATTAAAAATATGAACAATCACATTAATTTGTACTTCAATTCTTTTTAAAGTAAAGAAATAGGCATATCTTCCTCATGACTTTCAATTTTTTAAGTTTTTTATTTGGTAGTAGAAACTATCAATTCAAGACGGAGGACTGAACACACAAACCTCATCCTCCTATTAGCCCATTAAAATGAAGGAATTTGGGGCCGGCCCCGTGGCTTAGCAGTTAAGTGCGCGCACTCTGCTGCTGGCGACCCGGGTTCAGATCCCGGGCGTGCACCGACGCACCGCTTGTCTGGCCATGCTGAGGCCGCGTCCCACATACAGCAACTAGAAGGATGTGCAGCTATGACATACAACTATCTACTGGGGCTTTGGGGGATGGGGGAATTTAAATAAAAAAAATACATAAAATAAAATGAAGGAATTTAAAAAGTTAAAGAATAAAGAAAATAAGAAAGAAAACAAGTGGTCAAAAAAATTTCTGGAAAATAAAGGCATTGGAGGAATAAATGCTCTGTAAAGCTACAGCCAAGAATATCTAAGGAGAGAGCTGATCTGATTCCTCAGAAACTCAGGAATCTGAAATGCCGTATCAAAAAGACCATGCAGAACAGAGAAACTATTCTGCAGAATACTGCAGTGGTGGATACAGAACATTATACATCTGTCAAAACCTACAGAATATACAACACAGAGTGAACCATGACATAAACTATGGACTTGAGTTAATAATAATGCACCAGTATTAATTCATCACCTGTGACCAATGCACCACGCTAATGCAAGGTGTTAATAAGGGCAACCATGGGAGCTGGTGGGGGGAGTATAGGAGAGTTCTCTGTACTTTCTGCTCAATTTTTCTGTAAACATAAAATTTCTCTAAAAAATAAAGTCTATTAATTAAAGAAAATAAAGATGGTAGAAAAATACTTAGGACTGACAGTGAACCCCGTGTCTTCCTCCACAGATGGGAGTTAGGCATTTACCTTCAGGCAAAAAAATGGTGGAGCACCTCTAAACGAGGTAAAAAGGAATGAACAATCGGGGGAGAACAAGGGCACCTTTTGCAGCTCTTAGTTCCCCAGACTAAACAAAAGTCTTCTACGTTCTGCCACCAGGGACCCCAAGTTTAAGGGCTAGTTCTCTGGCCAATCACACATCAAGTGACCCTGGAGATCAACCAGCTCCATTCATGTTCACCCACAGGTTTACTGTGCCTTGTTCTGAAATACCAACAGGCAACCAAGAATTACAAGATATCTGAAGCGGGGAGAATGGAGAGATGACCCAAGGCAGATAACTCAATGAGCAGAAGAGAACTTTTAAAAAGAAAATGCTAATTGGATTTCAGAGGAAAGTACATAAAACCAGAAAAGAATATCTTGAAAAAGAAACAGATCATGAAGAGCTCTCAGAAATTAAAAATCTTACAAGCTAAAAAAAATTCAATAAAGGAGTCATAAGATAAAATTGAAGAAAACTCTCAAAAGTAGAGCAAAAAGGTCAAGAGTTAGAAAATGTGAGAGGCAAAATAAGAGACATAAATAATCAATCCAGGAGGCTGAACATTGTCTTGAAAAACAATATGTATAACCTGACTTAGAATGCTTTTGCATACTCAAGCTAGGGTAAAAGGTAGGGTAGATTATAGGTTCCCAAACTCCTACAGTACATTTTCAATTTTTTATTGGGAATATAAATTTTAAAAATGATCTGGATTATCATTCCAGGTTATTCACTCCATGTACATATGTGATTTGCATAGTGCCAAAGGAAATGGTGAAAATTCTAATATTTGGTTGATTTACACCTTGAAAATTTTATTTAAAAAAACTCAGTCCAAAGTAGAATTTTTAAGACTTAATTATTAGACTCTAATTATTCTCCAGTTTTAGAACTTATTTACAACATTTTCCCTGATCAAGAGTAAGCTGAGGAACCATCCCAAGCTGCAAATATTGTGAGAAAAGAAAAGAAAAAAACAAACACTAAACATGAACCCAATGCTTTGGAACTAAATACTAAGTAGGCCTATTTTCCACATTGGTGGGAGGCAGGTATTGACTTAACACAAACCACCAACTAACTGCATTCATGAGCGCACACTAACACTTCTGAGACTTCTGTATCTAATGTCTATTGCTGTTAAGATGCCATACTCTATGCTCAGATTTTGCCATTTCTTATCAATTGAGAGGGTAGTAGAAGCAACAGACCAAGGCTGAGCTATAGAATCCTACAAAAAGAGAATAAAAATGTGTTTTGTTTTGTTTTTTTGTGAGGAAGATAAGCCCTGAGCTCACATCTCATGCCAATCCTCCTCTTTTTGCTGAGGGAGATTGGCCCTGAGTTAACATCCGTGCCCATCTTCCTCCACTTTATATGGGACGCCACCACAGCATGGCTCGAAAAGCAGTGCGTCGGTGCACACCCGGGATCCAAACTGGCAAACCCCGGCCGCCACAGCGGAGCACGCGCACTTAACTGCTTGCGCCACCAGGCCAGCCCCTAAAAATGTGTGTGTTTTGACTCACATAATTTTAAATACATGTGCCGGAAAATACAATTTAGTTTCCCAAAAGTCCAAAGTCTCAGGAAACATTATCACTGTCACATTAGATATGGAGAAATATTACTTTAAAAGGATAACTGATTCTTCAATTACAACATAAGGATAAAGAATATTCAATAATAATCATCAATAACTGTAGGAATTACAATTTCATAAATTAATAATTATATTTTGTCTTATTTTTACAGGTTCAGATGACAGTCCATAAATCAGGATCATCTGACATTATTCTAAAGTTAAAAAAAATTGATTTTCTTTCACTAATTTAAAAAAGAAACAAAGTAGCACCTTATCTCCATATAGAAAACTTTCATAGCACCTTTATGTTACTAAATAATATTCTAAATAATATTCAATTTTAAGGGTTATACTTAAGATAACAGATTTTGGTAAAAAAAAAAATCCATCTATTAACCAGCCTACTAAAACTTACTGTTAAAACATGAGCCGTCTCTGCAGAGCTTGCTGAATTCTGTGGCCCACCCATATGCATCTTGCTGATGTGAGTGTTTAAGCTACCTAAACTTTTAAATACACAACTACATTCTGTACAGTTATAGGTAGGGCCATTCTTGACCTTAAAGAATAAAGAAGAAAAAATGATTTTTTACAATTATTAGATAAAAATATTGAAATTATGCCAAAACATAATTTACCCTTCCACTAAAAATGACAGAAATAATCTAACCCTTTAATATTACTTTTTCTTTTAAATTAGGTAGCTCTAGATTCTTCAATCAATATTGCCAGTATGAGATTAATTGAAATTTCAGTCTCTTCTATAAGTTAGAAATGGTTCAAGAGTGAAAAAACATAGTTTTCAGTTATTGTAATTTAGCAAAAATAAAATGTCTGACAAGTTCTCAATTTCTTAAACGGTTAAGCACAATGTTAACAATGAAGGCTAGACAGTTAGATATAAATATTACTTTGACTAAGCCTTTTGTGGGCTAAAACATACAAGTTAGGAAGGAGAGTCATACAATGTGTAAATTTTTTATCACCAATTCCAATATTCTGTATCAGCGACTACTTTTCAAAACTAAGATAAAGCTAACAGTGGACTACGGAGAGCAGTAAAATGAACAGGAACATCTAGGCACAGAGAAAGCATCTAAAACATTCTTCCACCATTACTCAAGCCCAGTGTTAGTTACTGTTATATTTATGAAGACTGGCTTGAAAACTGATCGGCCATCTCTGAGCTTGGAGAAGACTTCCATTCTATTTCTAGCACCTTGTTAAGAACCAAATTTAAGGATTTAGATTCATCACAGGATTGGATAATATTTACCAACCAATCTTTAGAGGTCATTTCTGGAACATCTCAGTCTGTTCCACCACAGCTCCCAGGGTGCCTCAGGGCTAGGGGACAGGTGAACCCCTGGCTTCCCTGAAGGATTTTTCTAAATGCAGGAGCCCTAATGAGTATCACACAGGGTTATTCTAAAGTTCCAGTGAGATCTTTCTGGGTGCTACACAAATATACTATGATTTCTAAGCAATCGTCTTTACACAGAGGCAGCCCCACAAGAATAACTTATATAGCCCAAATTTACTCTTCTGAGATCTAAAGGTAACCTCACTTCACATTATCATTACCTCACCAATATTTATATGCTCTTCCTAATGCCTCTGAGTCTTAGGTAATAAAACTTAGTTTTTAAAAGTAACTCATTGCACATGGAATTCTGAATCTATTTACAAACTATGCGAACTATGTAGGTTTTTTAATTTTAGTGTTACTTAAGGATTTACTCCAAAGAAAAAATAAAAAGATATACATTTGCTTTTAAGAATATGATAGCTTTCATTCTGCAAAATAGTTACATAAAATAAAACGATCCATGATAAAAGTATTTGTGTTGTTTAAATATTTCTTTATATTCCACAATTAGACTATAAATAAGATACCAAATCATGACAATTAATGAAAGCAAAGGTTAACCTGCTTAAGAGAAACACTTCCAGATGCTTTACAAATCAGTATGATCTATAGACAACAAAAAATAATGAACATCAGTTTCGCTGAAATAACATGTAGCATGGAGGAAAATAAACAGACCAGGACTCTTGTCTGACAGAAAATGGGAATGGGGCCATATGCAAGCTTAGCAATACTAGTAATAGGAAAAATACTTTTTTCCCAAATTTTATTTCTTGTCTTTCAATTTCTTACACTTGATAGTGTCTGTGTTTCGAGTTTGCTAAAGGGATGAAATACATTAACATTTAGATTGATGGATCGTAACTAACAAAGGTATTATGATTATTTTCAAACATTTATTCATCAAAGATACAATATTGGCAGGAAGAAGACAAAAAGACAGTATTTTATATTTCTCCCAGGTATAAAAAGCCAAACAGTTTCATATTAGAGTCTGCTCTGCACAAACTCGTAATCTGCATTTAAAAAATAGGAAAGTACTTCTCAGTTTTGCTCATTAACTCAAGAGCCATCTACTACAGCCTGGGAAACACTGCACCCCTATGAATACCACACACACCCCAAGCGCGATGCTTACCTCTGAGTGAACTCTCTGCACATGTGACTGGAGATTCCCTTTTTGAGAGAAGGCAGCAGGACAAAAGGCACAGGCATGGGGTTTTTCACCTGTATGCTTAATCATGTGAGTTTGCAATGCCCCTTTCTGGTTAAAAGCTTTTCCACATTCACTACATTTAAATGGCCTTTCACCTAGAGAGGGAGAAAAATGATCAAAATATAATTCCATGTTGTGTGAGCATTTGATGGATTAAAAGAGAAATACTTAAGTTCCCCAAACCCAAGACCCCAAACCTATCCCTCCAGGCAGAACATCTCCCCATAACTGTAGACTCATATATCCAATTGCCTACTCAAAATCTCAAAATTAACACCAAGATTATACAGAAAACTATGGAAAAGCTAAGATCAACTTCCAGGTCTAGTTGGCTCTAAGGCACATTTTCTTTTCTTGAAGCCACATCACAAATCATCCAAAAGTAAACATATTCATACCTGTGTGTATCCTAATATGCCGAGTTAACTGACTTGGCTTTTGAAACGTCTTTCCACAGTGTGGGCATGAATAAGTGAATCCACTCCTGTCGATGTTCCGATTATAAGACCTTGTACTTGATACCCTAGGGTAACAGAAGGGGGAATATTCATTAAATCGTCTCCCTTTTATCACAACTTCAAAATTAAAATCCTACCAGAAAGTTTAGCTGACTGGTCATCAGAACATGCTCTAACAAGAAATCAATCACATATAAGTGTGTGTGTGTGTCCTACACGTACAGACACACACACATAGACATGTATTAGTTTTGTGTATCTGATACCATAAAATTCATTTTTTCCATATCTAATGAAAAGAGAAACTTGGTTTGTTTTTTTGGGGGGGTTGGGTTCAGAATGGCTCTTCTAGACAAAGCTTTACCTGTGATGGTCAAATATAAAGACCGGTGCATGTGGGATTTCTACATCGACAGGCGTCTGTGCTACCTCCTCCAGTCTCCTTGCTTTCAATACCATCTGGATGCTGATGTCTGCAAAGTTCTTCCTCCACAACTCTAACACCTTCTCTCAGCACCAACCTTGGACATCTGACTCTCTGCTTGACATCTCTTTGTGATGGCTAATTGGTGGCTCAAATCTAGCATGTCCCGAACAGAACTCTTCACTTATTCCCAACCTGCTCCTTTCCCTGACAGTAAATGGCAACTCCCTGTAGTGCAAGTTTAAACCTTAGGAGTCACACTGGATTCTTCCCTATCCCTCACCCCTGACTTCAAGTCCATCTCCACAAGCTGCTGGTTTCACTCCAAAACACCTCCAGATGCTTCTGTCTCTCCACTCTCCAGCCACCACCACAGTTTTAGAACTGCATCATCTTGCCGCTGCCTTGATCCACCAGTTTCCCTGCTCAACCTCACCCACACAGCAGCCACAGCCACATCTGAAGTCTGGACAGGCCATTCCTTTGTATAAAACTCTCCAAGAGCTTCCCACTACACTTGGGATAAAATCTTCATTCCCAGGATGGCCTTGAAGGCCCTACAGCCCCTGGGCCCTGTCTCCTTCAAACACAGCCCTAATAAGCTCCCCTGCATAGTGGGCTGTCATCACACTGGACTCCTTTCTGTTTTCAAACACAGAAAGCTCACTGCTATTGAGATTGTGGCAACTGCTCCCCCTTTGCCCGGAATACCCTTCCCTGGACCTGCAGGCCCTCCTCCTCCTCCCCTAAATCTCATTTCAAATGTCCAGAAAGACCACCTCACCAACCTGCCCTACCTTCCTGGCATCACCCCAGATCAACACGACCACTATCTGGAACTGCTGCACTGACTGATCCACTCACTTTGCCACTGTCTGTCTTCCCTACTAAATGACAGCTCCATGAGAATGAGGCCATCTGTCTGGCTCGTCCCTGGATCCTGGAAAACCCAAAAGCCAGTGAGGTCTAGTGCGCGAGGACCACCTAAATATCTTCAATGATCTCTCCAAAACCTTTGGAGATACATCAATAGTGCCTGTGTCAAAACTTCATCAAAACAAAAATTTAGTGTGATAGAGTGCTTGCATGAAATTTTGGGGTTTCAAAATCACTGAAATAATGTAGTACTAGGTGGGTACCACATTAGTTAACAACAGACAAAATGAAGGAAGTGGGAAAGATAAGAGAATATTGAGCGTATGGAGATGTTCAGTCCACGTTTCTAAAATGCAATGCCTGAGAGAATAAACAAACACCACAAACTCCTCGGACATTTTATGAACTTTATTAACTGATGTGGGGCTTTGTGTTGTTGTGGTTATGGTTGTTGTTAAAAAGTAAGGATATTTCCTAAATGTTGGGGCTTACAATAGTGGCAAGCCACTGATAATACACTAGTTAAAAAGATCATTGATACTAGATTTACAGTTTATTGGAGAAATGAGCTCAAGGAGTGTGACAATTGATCATCACCAGTAGCTAACTTGAGCACAAAGGGCCAGGAAACACTTTCTATCCCATTTTATTAAGAAAAGGAAATATCAGTAAAAATATATAATCCGGAATAGATCAGATATGAAATTTTGAAAGACATGTTAAGTTTTACTAGGAATAAATGTATATCTGTATTTAAATACAGGCACAGTTGCTAAGATCATAAACTCTAAAACCTGGTCTCTCTAATCTAGGTTTTCTCATCTGCAAAACAGAGACATAAAAGTACCCTGACTGACAGGGTTGTTCGTAATGATTAAATGAAGTTGTATTTATATATGTTTATACACACGATAAGCACAGTGTTGGGCACATATCAGTTCTAAAAAGTTAGGCAGTATAAATAAACCAATTCATTAAAACGGCTGCTAACTTGGTCCTTGTGAACGCACTTCACATACGTTGTTACCCACCCGTCAAAACTTACGTTTTTATCTTATTCTACAGTTTTGTTCTACAGCTTTTAACATTCTAATACTAGCAAAAATTTTTACCCACACAGCCTGACACCTATTTTTAATTTTTGAGCTTATCTCTCCTACTGTAGACATGAACTACACATTAAATGACATCCTGACACCACACCAGATTAGTGGCTGTGTTCTTGTTTCTAAAGCATCCAATATTTTTAACCAATCATACATAGCAAAGTATGCCAATTTTTAATATAGTCTACAGATTTGTTTTTTTACCAATCCCAACTAAAGGCTCATACCTAATTTTATAATGAGTCTTCATGTGCTCCTTCAGCTGTGATGAGGTCTCAAACTCCTTCCTGCAGGCCTTACAGGCATGAATCCGGTTCCCAGCCAGCTCTTGGCGGTGTTCCTCCATGTGTATGGCCAACTGGCTCTGCAGAGTGAACTCATCCCCACACTCAGAGCAGATGAGGTTCTGCAAAAGAAAGACCATCCATGAACAGAGCAAACATTGCAAAACCATTACTTCTTAAAAGAATTAGTATTGTAAACGGTCGATACACAAATTAAACTATTCTCTAGAACGAACACTATTTTCATCTGTTGAAAAATATATCACTATATCCAAATATGAATATATACAAATCACTTCTTTACTGGAAGAAAAAGATGGAAACATAGGGGAAAAGATGAGAGGAAAACACAATTTTTGAGCAGAGGGATTTGTTTCAAATTGGCTGTTGGGTAACTGGCATTTTGTCTATCTATGCTGTGAAAACTATAGAGAAACAGAATGACTTCAATACCACAAAAGGGTCAGGAAGAATTTAAATAGGATTATAGATTAATAGACTATAATAGACTTAAAACAAAATTACAGCTGATAAATTTTTAAATGGAAATACCTATCATTCTTTCAATTTGGTTTATAGGCAGTCGATTACAGAAAAGTCTGGGGTTCTGTTCAGATGTGGCTTGCTGAGCACCTGAAACAGGTGTAGTCTGAACAGAGCTGCGGAGTAAGTGTAAAATATACACAGGATTTCAAAGACTTACTACAAAAAAGAAGAATGTAAAATAGCTCAATAACTTTTAATATTTGAATTATAATATCTTGGATATATTTTCATAAATAAAATATATTAAAATAAAATTTATTTCATCTGCTTTTCTTTTTACTTTTTTTAATATGGCTATTATAAATTTTAAATTACTCATATTTCAATTAGATAACACTGGTCCAGATGTTCTGGAGTTGGGTCTTGGCTCATCTTAAGGCTGCCAATTACTAGCTGTATGCGTTCGGGTGTTAACCACTTAAAGTCTGTGAAACAGGGATGTCAGTAACACCTGCCTCACAGGGTCATCATAGGGTCAAATAAAATGATGCTTGTAAGATGCTGAATAGTGCATGGTACAGAGGAAGTACTCAATAATGACCTTAATCAGCAAACTGTTGATTTAGTACAAAGTTCAATTACTTTACTCATTTGGAGCTCCATAGTACAATTATTTACTTAAATGATCCTCCAAATGAACCGTCCAACATGGGAAAAAAAAAATGAGTGTAGGGGCCAGCCCGGTGGTGTAGTGGTTAAGTTCCTGTGCTCCGCTTCAACGGCGCAGGGTTTACCAGTTTGGACACTGGGCTCAGACCTACGCACCACTCATCAAGCCATGCTGAGGCAGTGTTCCACATAGAAGAGCTACAACTCCACAACTATGATATACATCTATGTACTGGGGCTTTAGGGAGAAAAAAGAAAAAGAGGAAGATCGGCCTCAGATGTTAGTGCAGGGCCAATCTTCCTCAAAAAAAAAAAGAGTGTAACCTGTCAATGAGCATAAACTATTATTTCCAAATAACAAAATACATAGCTATTCCTTTCCATCAGACTTTCTTCTAATTACTGTATGTAACAGTTTTGTAAATGTATGAAACCCTCATTAAATGTTCTTTGATACTACTCAGAGCATCCTTTACAGAAAAAGATGACAATGAATGGAATATTTTGAGCAAATAATGATTTCAAATTAAATTTAAATTAGTATTATTATATAATAGTTTAGGGAAATATTTAGCTACTAGATTGTTAGTATCTTGCTGATAATAAAGAAAATTCTTTCTAGGAAACTACCAGAAAGAAAAAAATATATAACATAATAGCCTGCATCTCTTAAAAAAAAAAAAAAAATGACCTCTGCACTCCTGAATTTGTATGGCAAAATATTCATTTTTCACTAACTCCACCAAATCTCCTGCCTTATAATTATGAAATAAAACAACTTTTTATCCTCCCATTCCCACCCTTATTCTTTTATTGCTGTGGCTCAGATCCATCCTCTTTTTACTTACTTTTTTACCAAATGATCAGATTAGCATATTTTAGGAGATATCTACATGGATATTACTCAGAAATTTGTCAGAATCTTCTGAGTGAAAACTCTGGTTTATGTACAGTTTGCTTACATGGTGAAAGCAGGATCAAGTACACCCTGGGTCACAACCAAAACAGGCCACGTGACAGAACGTTTCATCACTGTTACCCTGCTTTACATCAGTGGGCCAAAAGGAGCCAGGATGCGCCTCCCTCCCTTTCTGTGACCTGGCAACACCTGAGGAAGTCTCAGGCAGGAGCACAAGACCTCCTGGATAGCTAAGACTTTCCACTTGATTGCATTCTCCACATTCAGATTAACGTCAAGTCCTCTAGGCTAGAAGTAGTTACTAGGTTCTCCCCTAGAAACAGAAGTTCTGGGGTAATTTCAATGATCACTAAGTGGCAACAGAAAGCACTGAGGAAAATGCGTTGCATTCTAATCAGCCCTTGTCTTGCTGAAGATGTAACACCTTTAAAAGTCAACCAGAATAGAAACTTCGATAAATACTAACTGCCCTAAGGTTACTCTCCCTGTAACCCTCCCCCTTCCCATCTCCCCTCACCCAGGGCCAAGGAGTGATCTTTCCTCACGCCCCCATTTGCTCTGACAGTCACACTTGCCCTTCTCTCGGCAGCCCTCTCACACTCCAGTGCCAAAATGCTGCCCTTTCTCCTGCCCCAGGCTTTTTCAGGAGCCAGTCTTCCTTTCCAACAGGAGTTTGTCTCTGTTGACCTCAAAATGGTGCTCAAAGCACAGGATAAACCACAAGCCACTGCCCAGAAGGCTGCTCTTCTCTCGAAACCTAAGGCACCTGGTCTCTCCTCACAGTCCACTTGTGCGAGCTACCAAGACGACCAACAACTTCCGTGAGCAAGTGTGTTTGTGAGTGTGCGTGTATTCACTGCTTCTCCAACATGGTGTAACACCCCTTGAGGGGAGTGATTTACTCAAAAAAACATGTGAGCCTCAATAATCGTGTGAATCTTAAGGAAATATTTCTAAGTGATTTAAAAACTACAGTAATTTTTCTGGTTTAGAGATTTATTTTGACAGAGTAGTGACCACTACAGATTTTAGACTATTACTCTCAATAGAGCAGTAAGGAAAAATTAGCTTACAGTGTTCTAAAAGTAAAAAGTAAAAAATGGAACACCTTAAACTAAAAAGTTAATTATAGTTCATAAGTACACATAAGAAAATATGTTTATAGGTTATTTTTAAATCAATTTTATTGAAGTATACTTTATATACAACAAAATGTACCCATTTAAGTGTAACTTTTTACCTCTCCAATCCATTATGTGATGATTTCAGAGTTTAACTCCCTAAAGGCAACCCTCACCCTATTTCTCAGGTTTCGGGGGACACTGCACTGATGCCCCCAGGATGTTCTATACCCATCACATGGCTAAGCATTCTACCTACTTTTATCTTGTCTAATCCCCAACCTCACCCTGGAATCTGCGGCACCTCCCTCAGACTTCAAAGCTTGGCCCTTTCTACCAACCCAAGCTGCTTTCTAGGCTTAGCTGCAGAAGGCCCTTCTTGAGTCCTCTGACAAAATAACAAATGGTGAATACTTGAGAAAGTAATACTTTCAACAACTGCCACTTGTTGAGTTCCACTATACCAGGAGTTTTGGAGGGCATTTTACGTTTGGAGAGAGTGTCTCAGAGACAGCGTGTTGTTGGATCATGTTGTTTTGAATGCATTCTTCCCATATGTCCTTTATTTAACATACTTAGACCATAAGGTAAAGTCATTATTGGTACTTTAAAGCCTAAGTATGCCATTTTATTCTTTGCTGGCTGCTTACCCTGTTTCTTGTTCCTCTGCTTCTCTTTTCTTGCCTTCCTGGATTACTTTAGAATTTTTCAGAACTCACTTTGATTTATTTGTAGTACTCTTGAGTACATCGCTTTGTATGGTTTTCTTGGAGGCTGCTCTAGGTATTATAGTACACCTATGTAACTAGCACAGCCTGCTGGCTCTGACATCTTACCTCTTTCAGGGACATACAGAAACCTTATTTCCATTCAGGTCGCTTTACTCTCCCCTCTTTAAAATAAAATTGTGCTAAGTGTGTCCTCCATGTACATTGAGCACATCAGATGATAATTTTTGCTTCAACCATCAAGTATGACTTAAGAGTTCATTAGGAAGAATAATGTATTATATTCACCTCAGTTTTTATTTTTACTCATTCTGAAAGTTTGTATTAGTCAGGGTTCTCCAGAGAAACAGAACCAAAGATGTGTATGTATGGAGAAAGAGATTTATTATAAGAATTGGCTCACATGACTGTGGAGGATGACAGGTCCCACAATCTCCAGTGGGCTGGCGACTGGAGATCCAGGAGAGCCAATAATGCAGATGAAGTCTGAAGGCAGTCTGCTAGAGAATTCCCTCTTGCTCGAGGAGGCCAGCCATTTTGTTCCATTCAGGCCTCCAACTGATTGGATAAAATCCACCCACACTACAGGAGTGAAATTTGTTTACTTAAAATTCATCAATTTAGGGGCTGGCCTGGTGGCATAGCAGTTAAGTTCGCATGCTCCACTTCAGCCGCCCAGGGTTCACAGGTTCAGATCCCGGGCGCAGATCGACGCACTGCTTGTCAAGCCATGCTGTGGCGGCGGCCCATATAAAGTAGAGGAAGATGGGCACGGATGTTACTCAGGGCTAATCTTCCTCACCAAAAAAAAAAAAAAAAAAAAAAAAAATTTCACCAATTTAAATGTTAATCTCACCAAGAACATCCTCCAAGTTGACCACAGAATTAATCATCATACTGCTCTTTGTGTTCTGAAGTTCCAAGCCTCCTTCTCTTATTACTTCCTTTCAGTTTGGATAACTTCCTTTAGCCATTCTTTAAGAGTAGGTCAGCTGGCAACAAATTGTTTGTTTTCCTTTATCTGAAAATGTCTTTATTTCCCCTTCATTCCTGAAGGATATTTTCACCATATATAGAATTCACAACTGACATTTCTTTTCTTTCAGCAATTGAGAAATGTGTCTTCTGGCTTCCTTCCTTCTGGCCTCCAGGGCTTCAGATGAGAAGTTCACTGTCACTGGAATTGGGGTGCCCCAATT